TTTGGCATTATTCCTCATAGAATGAGGTTTACCAAATTCGAAATAAGTGCTCCGCTATTTTGAATTTATTTCGAAATAGCGGTTTGGCTGTGTAGACGCTAGTAAAGTTATTTCAAAATAAAGGCTGTTATTTCGAAATAACTTTGCTGTGTAGACATACTTTCTAACAGCATTTACTTCATCTTGTTTGTTGTATTGCTATTATGAAAGAATATAACTTGTATTCTCTGCATTCTCATTTGTCTTGTTATCCCTTAGAGTAAATGTCATTTTTGTTTCTTCGTTCTTAATGGCATTTTTCACGACCCATCGAGTGTCCCTCCTTTAATGAAGATGGAGGGGATGTGGTTTATTACTTTTTAAATGAGGTAGTGAGTGTGCAGATATTATTAATTTCATTATCTGGTTCCAGAATTTTTTACAAAGGGATAAGTAGAATTGGCCAGCCTCTTCCTAATGCTTTTATTATAATTATTAATTATTATTATTATCAGGGCTCGCCAAGCGGCAGTGAGCTCCACTCGCCAGCCGTGCGGATTCGTGCGGTTCTGCATTCTGCGCTCTGCACATGCGCAGATCGCTCTGCGCTGGCTCTTCCGGGTTGTAATCTACTCGCCACAGGCGAGGAGATTACATTATTTTTCAAGCCCTGATTATTATTATTATTATTTTATTATTTTATTATTCATAGAATTCTGGTAAACACTAAAGCAGGACCAACAAAGTACTTAGTACAGCAGAATATTATTTCAGCTACTCTGCCCATGCTAAATGGAGAAAGAATAAATCACTGTTTTCTCTCAAATTCTCTTTGATCCCAAGAAATTGTTAAATTGTATCTATTATGCTTGATTCTTTGTTTTCTATGGTGAAGTGTGGGTACTAGATGTGCAAATTTTGGAGCTCTTTCTGATGATAAAGTTGTTATCTGCATAGTTTTTGTGTGTAGTCTAACAAAAGAACAAGTTTTTCATATATTTAAATACAGCCTGAATATTTCTGTTGAAGTTGCAGAAATGAAAGCAACACAAGACATCTGTTTTGATCAGTAAGTCATCTCAGATTAAATGGAGTTGACCAAAACATTGCATTTTAAATAATGTTGGGTATAAATTATAGTCTAAAACAAATACACATGACCTAAGCTTAAATACAATTTTAACACTTGCCACAGTAAATGTAGTGGAATTTGGCAAATCTGATTCCGAGGGTACAGCTACACTGTGGGTGGTTTTTTTTAGGTATGCAAATTATGTTCATATTTGCATATCTTCCATTTCTTTTTCCAGAAGAGAATTTTCTGATATTTGGCCCATGTACACAGGGGAAAAAACCTCTTTTGGAAGCCCCCTTATTCCTTGTAAAACGAGGTGTACAGGGGGCTTCCTAGAGAGGAGGGATTTCTGACATTTGACCCTGTGTAGACAGGCCAAATATCAGAAAATCCTCTTCCAGAAAAAGAATTGGAAGAAGATATGCAAATGCAAGTGCAATTTGCATACCTTCTTCAAAGGAAAAAAAACAGTGTAGCCATACCCCAAGTATTTATCTTTATGAACAGAAATAAGTGGATTTACGCTCATATTTAGGATTTCACCTTGAGTAGTGAAGGTCACTTTTTGTAATAGGAAAGGTTGATTTGGCCTGTTGTTAAAAGCAATGGAGCACCTAACTTGCATACATATATGCCTACCATATAAAATGCAGGTATTACGCAGGAATCAACTACGGGATATGAGAGCAGGTGGCTAAGTGGTGTTATTCAAAGGTCCACAAACTTGAGACACAAAATTAGACACCACTCAGTGTATTGTGGACATGATCAAAATATCATTATATATGTTCTGCTGTATTCCAAGAGCTTGGCTTCTTCCCTGTTGTGTTCATATAAAGTCTTGAATATTCCTGGTCTCTAGGGTTAATTGTGTCATGACTGTAACAAAAAAGAAGTGGCATTATTCTTCTAAGCAATATTCACTGAGTTTCAGAGTTAACATCCTAAGGTGAGCTGAGATCAGTTTACTTCTCAGGTTCACTTTTTGAAAATGGAAAGCTTAGATTCTGCATAGAAGATGGCATTTCAAGGATGGTTAATATAGCAGCAGGCCACATTACTTAGAACCCTAGTGCTAAGTTAATTTTCCAAACAGTTGGCCACCACTGTTCTTTCTCATCCTCTGCCAATTGTATAGCATTTTGTCTGTGAGGAGTTGTTTGGTTGTTGAGATGTGTTGGTGGCACAAGTGTCAGGATTGTGCTATATATCTCTGGGGAGAATGTAGGAGTATTTCGCAACTAAGTTGAGACTCTGGGGATACATCTTCACTGCGAAATAATGTCAGTTATTCCAAAATACTGCTGTGTAGAAGTACCCTTAGAGAGCAGAGCTGAGAACTGCACATGCTCACAGGCTGCCTGGTCCATCCCCTTTGGGACTCAAGAACTGACAGCTCCTTGCTCCTTCAGACTCCAATGTCCTGGCCTGGGTCTCCCATGCTGCTCTGTTTTGGGGGTGGGGGGGAAGAGTAGCTCGGGACTTTGCACTGGGACTACTTGGATTCTTAGGGGATACAGCAACAATGCAATGAGGGTTGCGATGGCAACTCAGATAGGCATGTCTACATTCATTTCAATCTAGCTGATATGGCTAAAAATAGTCATACATTCTAATAGAGCAAGGACATTGGAGACACAAGGAGAGTGAGGTAATAACTTTCACTTCTTTTGGTGGGAGAGACAAGCTTTCAAGCCACACAGAGGTCATCAAGTCCTGAAGCAGAGAGTGACTGGTCCTGGTCCAGTGCAGAGATCAGGGACAGTTCAGGTTTGGGGGGATGCCTCCAATGTCCATGATCTCTGCACTAAACAGAGGAACGCAACCATCTACAGACAGCTGGATGTCAGCCTGGCCACCAAAGGCCACATGTGAACCCAGGAGCAGGTTCACATGAAAATAAAGGAGCTGCGGCAAGCTTATGCCAGGGCCACAGGGGGCAGCTCCCAACCAGGGAGCAGGCCCAGATCTCTGCCCCTATTTTGAAGCCATGGACCGCATCCTGGGGAGTCAGGATGGTCTGTGCTCCCCAGGTGGTCATCGACCCTGGGGCAGAGCTTGCTGCCTCCTGCTGCTCCAGCCTCTGCTGCCTCCCTAGCTA